TATCAGCTTTCCATATTTTCCTCTTTGTATCAGTTACTTCTGCTGTGGTAACAAACAGCACAAATATCTCAATAGCTTAAACAATGAAGATTTACTTTCCTTCTGCCTATCCTACAAATTGGTGGCAATAAGGTGGCTGCCGACCTCTGTTCCCTGTGTCTTCCCATTCCAGAATCCAGGCTGAAAGATAACAGCATTTGGGATGTACTGTTCTCATGGCAGAGAAAAAAGAACTAGAGAGCTGCTGGCAGACAATGCCCATGCTCCTTATAGCTTCTGCTCAGATGTGACACATATCACATACATTCACATTCATTGGCCAAAGCCCTCCTGTAGCCAACCCCCAAATCAACTGGGCAGAGACTCATACCCTTCCCACAGAAGGCTCTGCAGGACACATAGCAACAGGCAGAGAATGACAATCACCTCACATGGACGGAAGGATCAATTGCTTCAGAATAATAAAGGAATAGAACAATACCAATAGTAATAAATTAAATAACTCCACCCATTTTATTAACATCCAATACGGGGAGCTCCTCCCCCATAACTAAAAAAGAATTTGATGTGATTTTATTTCTTCTTAGAATTGTTGCAAAACTCTGTGGCAACATTTGCCAAATTGCTCTTCAGAATGTCATGGTCCCTCAATATGTTAACAGTCATTAAGCAATTAAAAAGGATTCCATGGTCAAATAGGTTTGGCAAATGCACTGTATTAATATCCCTCTGTTAATAGTAACAATTCTTTACTATCATATTAGATGCTCTGAGAATGCCTGTTGTAAAGATATCTACTTAACCCAGGATTGGCATCAGAGAACTATTTCTATAGTGGTACAACCATTCACATGAGATTCTAGTAGCCAACAGTGCCCTAAACTTTAGGGCCTAAAGGATTACGAAAGAATCACCCAGGTGGAGCCTTGCTGTTTCCTCATTGCTGTGCACCCAGACTGAAGAACACCTAACGATGTTGATAGGAGGTATGCAGGAGACCAACAGGTCTGCACGGGCCTCCAGAATGAGGCTTGCATTTTTTTTGCTGCAATCATATTCTACGTCAGGTATCTGGAAATGCTAATTTTGGTATTACTCTTTGCCTACTGAACTAAAGTGTAAAGACCTCAGACTGGCTTTTATTTCTTGTGCAACAACAATATCTTGAACCCTACTTTGTGCCAAGTACCGTGCCAAGCACTGAGTACATAACGTGAGCAAAATAAACATTGACCCTGCCCTCATGGATTTACCAGTTTAAGGTAAGAGGAGACAGACATAGAGTAAGCACAGGAATAAACAGGAGACGATCGTATAATCTCCCAACAGTGGCCACCCATTCCTTCTTAAAATGCTTTCCAAGCTTAGCTTCTGAGAAGCCACACTATGCTGATTTTCCTCTACACCAGTGGCCTCTCCTTCTCGGTCTCCTTCACTGGCTCTTCCTTTTCTATTGGCTTCTAACTGTAGAGAACCCAGAGCCCTCGCCTGGGTCCCCCTTTTCTTCTAGATCTCTCCCTAGCTGGTTTCTCTCATGCTCATAGCATTAAATTCCACACGTGTGCTCATGATTTCCCCACGTATATGTCCAATGAAAACTCTCCTCTGAAGATAGAACCTCTCCCCAGGTGAACCACCTGAACACTTACCTCTCTTAAGTCATTTAAGGTATTCTTTCTTTTTCCACAACTGCAGATAGTTCCTTTGTGCTCCTCCTAATTTATAAACCCCTTCAGGGCAGGGATCCTTGATCTATTTCATCTTCAGTTTCCACAGTGTGTTGCATAGTAAGTGTTTCATATATGATTATTGAATTGAATGTTTGAACTAAATTCCTGCTTTAGGGATCCCTAAGACACAAATGTAATAAAATGGAATATTTTATTTAAAGAAATAATGCCACAGCCTCTGCATTTCCAAATGAACGACCTCAGATGAGAGAACACAGCTACGTGCATTGGCATGAGGTGAATACTTAAGTTTAAAAATGCTACATCGAGCCAACATCATCCCTTGTGATCACAGAAGCTGCCACAAAGGTTTTACAAATTGCCTGCATTCCCACACCCCATCTGGCGATGCTGGTACATTACAGCCATGGGTGGCTTCCTCTTCACAATGGTCCCACTTGGATCTCCCCTCTATTTTTAAATGAAAAGATTTTAAAAAAAAGACAAGGTCTTGCCCAAAACTCTCCTACCCAACCACAGAGCAACAACTCAAGCGCACAATACTGATTCCTCAATTTGGCCTTAGGACCTAAGAGGAGGTTGGAAGAGGAGGACTGCCTGGATTGCAGAAAGATGTTTTCCCAGCAGCTCTAACAACTGCGCCTCTGGTGTTCATCGGAATTTTGAGCCTGGTTTTCCCCACGCCATTCCCAAGGCCTCTTCTACCCGTCAGAATGAGCTAGGTTACGCACACCGTTAGAAGAAAGGATCATCTCACAGAGGTGTCTCTAGGCCACACTGAAAGAAGAGCCCAACACACATTAAATAAACAAACACTAGTGAAAACTGAGAGCAAAAAAAATTTTTTTAAGTAAATTTACAATTTTGTGTCGGGCTGCATTCATAGCCATCCTGGGCCGCGGATTGGACACCCTGCCAGAGGAAAGCTGAGAGCCTCTTTGGACTTGATGATCTGCATAAGTGAATGGGGTCCCCTACAACCACAGGAGGCCCTGGTTCTAACATGGACAGTCTCTGCGGCACAGCTGCTCCGTGTGTGTGCACAGAGGCAGCTTTCTCTCATCCCAGTTGACCTAAATAAAAGATTGTCCTTGGCCTCCATGTAGACTTTAGTCTATAAAAAGAGTCAGGGGAAGTTGTCTGGATCCCATCTCTTCCTCAAAAATAAACATTTTTCAACTGCCATAGCATTTTAAACTACATCTTCTTTTTCTGCTAGTATCCCTTCCCTATCACACTTCCCTGGATAAACACATAGTTTGTGCCATAATATTTATTACCAAGGGACCCTCTGGGCCAATGGTAACTTCAGGAATTCTGCCGGGCATTTGGTCTGTTGACACATTGTGTGTCAATGCAAACATAGCAGATGGTAAACGGAGGCAACAGCTCCCCTCCTAGGACGCTGCCACTCTGACCCTCGGGTCAGCCTCTGGGTCACCATTCTGGGACTTGAGCTGACACTTTTTAAAAGAAAGTACTCTGACAGAGAGAGATCATTGTCAGTTGAGTCTTGCAAAAATTCACTTTCCATGTGCTCTACTCGTCCATCTTCTTGGCATGTGCCATTCCCTAGGCAGCTTCTGTTATCCTACATCCCTCGTTTCTCGCCGTGGCCTTGACTGTGCTCTCACTTTAGATTGATGCTGTGTGCTTCGTCATGTATCATGATGTCACTCACAGTGTATTTCCATTTGATAGATGCCGAGGTTGTCCACCCTGCAGGGCACACTTGCTAAGCATAGTATTTCCCTTGCCCTGCTTAGTAACTTCCCAAATGCATACAGTCAGTACTCAGTCATGCACATGAGCAAACTCTAAGACTACTTGGCAATTAAAGCCCTGCCAGCTGAATAGCTTGTATTTCTACTCAATAATCTGTTCATTCACTCATACTAAGTGCTCATCACACAGCTCAGTGTTTACAGCCCTTTAACTTGTCAGATCTCGATGTACAGAACAGCACTCGCATTCTAAACTAGGCTCTACCACAACAGTGCAGTGGAGATCATGAAACAACCACTCTCAACTCTTGTGTCTCCAGCAGTGGTGAATGTGATACATATAGTACATGGTGGGGGAAAAGGAGGTTTACAGTTTTTCATATGGAAAATAATAAAATAATTAATAAACAATAATACAGGAATAAACTGTGTTCCATGTACTTAGAACTGCAAACCTACTTTTGCACCCATCCTGTGCTTACCCCAGTCCTTGCCCCTATACCCACCTGCACTTTCCAACAAAGCTTCACCACAAGCCCCAGAAAGTCAGAGGTACACAGGAGGTGGGAGGGGCATCAGCAGATGGAGAGTGTGTGACGGGGGCACTGGGTTATGACCCAAGCTGCTACAGGAATAACATCTGCTCAGATACTAAATTTACCACTTAATTAGTTTAGGAACTCTCTTCTTCTAGCCCCAGTGCTACCTCATGATCTCTTTTTTATTTTTATTTACACAGCTGCCTTCCCCAAAGCACCCTAGAGTGGGTCTTAGTTCTGTATCTTCAGAGCTGGCCCCATGTTTTGGAGTTTTGACATTCTTTCAGACTCATTCCTTTCTCCTCCCAACCTATGGTAAAACTAAGTGGCAGTAGTAGATGTGTTAGCTCAGAGCCCGAGAACAGCTGTGTCTTGGCAGGAAGGTCAACCAGATGTCGCACAGATATGCAGGTTTTTGTTGGTGGCTACAAGTGCCCCTGGCATGGAGGGCCAGATGGTCCGGCAGCTGGGCCCACCACACCCCTCTCCCAGGGAAAGGACGAGGCCTCTCTGTCTTAGCAGTTACCCTCCCCTGGCAGCATGGACTCAACCCAGAAAATCGGGTCACCTCCCTCTCTTCTACTTGAGGTAGAGTGGAGAGGCCTCCTCCAGCTCTCTTCTGTCCCTTTAATTGAAGGATAGAAGCCTTTATTTACTCTGCTGTGGGAGACGAGGCAGAGAATTGCCCTCCAGCATCATGTCACCACCCTCTTTCTGGGGGACAAATGCCAGCTTGGACATCTATGTAAGATTAATTCCACGGCTGTATAGTTCCAGAGATAGAGAATTTGAGCTCCATATAAGCACTGAAGCATCTATATTCTACTTTTATCTAAATTTTTGTCACCAAAAAGGAAAAAAATTTATCCGCTCTCTGTCTCTGACCTATCCCCTACCCCTACCCCCACACCAAGAACCTTAAGCAGAATATTTTCCTCCATTTCAGAGGAGGAAAACAGTGCACGCTTTTTCTTATATGCAGAAAAACAGTACAAAGGAGGAGGGGCTTCTGTTCGGTTCCTTTTAAATTAATAATAGATCTCAAATTTTTCCAGCTTTTCCCTCTTTATTGGCATATTGTTGGATGGAAGTACAAAATTACCGTTATTTTGTTTTTGCTTTTTTATAAATAGACTTCTATGCCTAAGATTAGACAGAGAACAAAGGCATAAGATTAGCCTCTTCTCAGCATGAAAACTTCTGTTCTGGCCTCTCCATGTTCTCGCTGAGGCCCCCACAGTTATTCCAGCAAGTGGGGAAATCAAAAAAGATTTCCAGTGACAGCAATAACTTCACATACTACCCAGAGCTCTCTCTGTGTTTGTGTGGCAGCAAATCTTCACTGTGAAATCAGCAGTTCCAGGAGAACGAGTGGTATTCATCCCTCTAAATACAGGTGGCCACTTCAGCGCACTCCCATATTTTCACTCTCAATAGCAGGTCTTCTTGGGTGACTGTGGTCTTCTGTGAGCCTTGGAATTACAAGAAAAATAGAAAGGAAGAAAGGAAATGGAAGGAAGGAAGGAAGGAAGGAAGGAAGGAAGGAAGGAAGGAAGGAAGGAAGGAAGGAAGGAAGGAAGGAAGGAAGGATGAAGGGAGGAAAGAAAGGGGAAAGGGAGGAAAGGAGAAAACACAAAGTTGAGATCCAGCAAGAACTCATTATTCTGTGGGTCCGGTGTGATGCAGGCTACAGTCATCTCACATACAAACAGTGATGTGTTGTCCAGTATAAGGAATCACAGCTAGCAGATCCCCCTGGCTGAATTCTACCTCTCAGAAGAGAGCTGAATAGGGCAGAGTTTGGATCTTGAAAGTCAGGGTAGGATTAAGGGCAGGAACCAAGAGCTACAGACTTAGCCCATTTCAATCAGTATAGAAAGACCCAGAGGACAAGAACCATAACACCAAGCAAATAGTTACTAAGCACCCAGTAAGTGTCCAGCACTTGCAGGGCCTCAGGAGAGCAAGGAGATGGCTCACACTGACCAAAGCAGACTCTCATGCCCTCTGATTTGTAAGAGACCAGCATGAGCAGTCACCAGGGAGGGGAGCCACTGAGGGTCCATGCTGGTCCTAGAGAAAGGATAAGGTGCAGAAGGCTGGCAGACACACCCAGTCAGAGGTGACACCTGGCCACAGGCTTTGTCTTGTCTACTGAGGACAACCCTGCCATAAGCCTTGTGCACTATGTGATCTCTTACCCTGTGGTCATCAACTCGCCAGCATATCAGAATTACCTGGGGAGCTTTTTTTAAATTCTGATGCCCAGACCCCACCCCAGACTAAATCAGACTCTCTTGAGGGATTATGCAGGCTTCCGGAGTTTTTAAAACTCCCCAGGTGATTCCAATGTGCAGCCAAGATTGAGAACCACTGCATGGAGATAATTATCCTAATTACCTCTCCAGCTTTTCTCTGCCTCCACATTCCTCTGATCTAAGCTGTTATAGTTCCTTTTTATTTTTAGTTTGTTCTACTTTGTTCTTTCAGTGGATAATTCTATAATATGCTATTAAACCCTTTTTCCATGCTTTAACTTTGCTTTTTCTCATCTAATTAGCATTGCCCATTCCACATCCTTTGTCTTCCAATTGTGTTTATTTTGAGCTGTGTTTTCTTCAGTCCAGCATCAACATTTATGGGGTGCTTAATACAAGCAGAGTACAATAGTAGGCACTTAACTGCTACTGAGGATTACATCAGTGCAATATTTCCTGTTGAATTTTGTGTGGCAGTTACGGGCTCTTGTCCTATGAAAGAGTGGTATTTTGGCAAAGTTTATCTCCCTTCCCAAGAAGCAGCTCTCTTGTTACAAAAATAAAAGATCCAGAGTGAGTCTATTGCAACAAATAATAAAAAGAACTTCCAAAAACAGGGTAAAGAACCATTAAAAGCTGCCTGAAGCTAAATATCAACAATTCCCTTGCTAAAAATTTGGACTCAGTCTAGAAGGGAGATGCTGCCATTTGCAACAGAAAGAAAAAGCCCCCATACCATCTGTACAATAGGTGAAACTGTTCTCTGGGGGCAGAACATCTGCTGATTCAGGCTCATTTTCTTTCCTCATCATCAGCTGGCAAGCCCACAGGCAAGTCCTCAAGACACTAAAGGCTGAGATGAGGAAGAAAGAGCCAGGAGACTGTCCCAGAAGCACAACCCCTTCAGTACCAGGTGGGAGCCATGCAGTGGGTCTGCTCACTCCTACTTCCTGACTGTTCAGGAAGGAGCAGCCTTAGAGGTCAGAAAAACAGGCCCTGCAGCTCCTGGGCCAGGTGAGCCCCAGAAAGCCTGAAATCTTATAACCCCCACAGATCCCAGCTCAGCCCTGAACACACCACAGAAGCCATGGGATGTTTGCCCAGTTGCTGGATGAATGAATAAATGACTCCCCTGATGAAATTACTCTGGGAGAGTTGGTGGAAAGACTCAAATAGAAGATGGCTCTGTAATCCCACACTGATAACTACAGTCTCTTGATACACCGATATGGCTCCTCAATTCTTCTATCTTCCTTTCACCTCAGTTTTGTCTTCCAGGAATCAGCCAGATGCCTGTTGGAGAAACAAGAGATATTTGCTCCTTTTAGAAGAATCAAAATTTTGCAGTGCCAAATAATGGGACAGTAAATGAACAGCCATACCGTACACTGGTATGAGAGGAACCAGGATGGCTCCCTGAACTTCATATACCAACTAGGAGACTTCTATGAGCCTGGCCTCCAGAGCAACTTTATTCATAGAAGCCAATTCTCCCTTTAGATTCTTAAAACCACCATGAAAGAGGAGGGGACTTATTATTGTGCTGCCCTATGCATAGTGCCCCTCCCCTGCCTCCAGAGATGTCACAAACCAAGTCCTGCCCCTCCCACCTTCCACACTGGTCAGCTGACCTGAGGGCCAGTCTAACTGCAGATCAATCACAAGGTGCACTCACATCCATTATTTCATGGTCACACGAAGCAAGAGTATCCCCATTTTATTGTTTAGAAAATGGAGGCCTGGAGAGGATAAGAGATTTGCAGTAAGGATGGTGTCAGATGCAAATCTAGATTTTCCAAGCCTAAGTACAGTGGTCTCTGAGGCACTGTACTTTCAAAAAGCACAGTTCCCTCTTGAAAACTAGAGGAGGCATGAAAAGAGAAGACCCCCAAGTTCCAGGACCCTGTTCAGTTTTATAGGTGATATTCTGAGGCTTGTCTGGGCATGGGTAGGGTTACCTGGCTTCCTGCTCTTAACAGCCTGTGAAAACTCAAAGAAATGGATGAGTTCAAGGAACTCACTTGAGGAACAGAAAAGGCAGCTCTCTGCTTGGGGTTATGGGAAGTAAAGCTGAAACATGACTTCAAGGGCTTGCTAAAGTCCCTATCACCTCAGATCATTCATTCTTCCTTCTGAGCTCAATGAGGCCAATAAACACATCTTCCAGTGCCATGTAATCTGTTGGTTGGTTTTCCTGGGACCCCTGAGCAGCACTATGGCCCTGAAAATGAAATATTAAGTACCTCAGCCTCAGAGCTATCTCTAGACATCTTACACTCACAGAAAAGCAGGAAGCATGGTGGCAGTTCACGTGTTAAGGTCAGCAGTGTCTTTCTTAAGCTTCCCCTCTCTGGTCAGGCTGAAGGGAACAGAAGTTCCTGTAATGATATAGTCTGTCTTTAAAGCCACAACCCAAAGGCCTGAGCTCCTTCCTGTGGCCATGATCTTGGAAATGATCTCCTCACTGGTCCCCCTTCATTCTTCTTTGAGATCGTAGACAGATACTCACATTCCAGTCAGACATCCTTTGGGCAGAAAAAATCGTTTCACTTCAACCAGCACTCCTGAGGATCAGTATGGGTTCCACACGGTGCCTTGGGGGCATTGCACCAGAGATAAAGACAAACCCAATAACAAGTGCAAGGCAGCATTTATACATGGTAAAGCACTGTGGACACAAAGGCAACTTCAGAATTTCTGCAAATGAGGGGCTGGGGGATGGCAATCTCACTGGAAGATCCCTCAGGGACTTGCCTTGAGGCTGTATTTTCATAACATGTAAGATTAGGAAGATATCAAGAAATGGTTAACTGATGGAGGTTATAGGAATGAATGGATAAATCTCCCCAAACCACTTTTGCCTCAAGCAGGTATTCTTGTTTTTATAAAAAGATATCAAAGAAGGAGGAAACTAACAAATAGCCAAGCAATGAGCCAAGTGTTTGCAAGTATCACCTCATTTGCTCCTCACAGAGTGGAAACACTAATTCTCCTCAAAAATTATGTGAAAGAACAGACATCCCCCAGGTCACGGAAAGTTGCAGCCTTGACATAGAATCAACGCAAGGAGCACAGCCGGCACAAGCCAGAGAAAGGTAGAGTCCAGGGGCAGGGCCCTGGCCCACTTTTCTACCTTCCACCCGGGCACCCCAAGATAGGCTACATTTGTGTTCAAGTGCTGTCTTGTGTGACCAGGAAGACCAAGGGGCCTGTGGCAGATCCTGACTTCCCCAGACCAGGCATGGCACACCTAGCCACATTCTTCCCTGAGCTTCCTCCAGATCATAACTGGAGTTCCCTCCCCACTGCTGTCTTCTACCTCTGACTTTGATTTATTATTAATGATGACTCACTTCTAGTCAGCCCTAAAGGAAGGTTGCTTTGCCCATTAGCAATCAACTTTTAAAACTGCTTCTAACCAATGGCAGATGAAAGTCACAGTCATAAACATAAGCACATTCTTGGGATTTTTCAGAATGGCTTCCTGAATAATTTGGAAGAGTTCAACAGTAATTATCTAGGAAGACAGGCTTCTTTGAGCCCAGCTAATGGTTCTTTTGATACTAGGGGAACTTTAAGCCCACAGCACTTTCTCCTGCCTCAGGGCTTTTTTTTCAACAGAGCCTCACTTTTTATATAGAATAATCTTTTCCTACACATGCCCCGTTATACCTGATATATCAGATAGAGTTGCAGCGGGAGGCAGGGGGTCTTCAAGTTATGATTGGAAAGAATCTAATGAAATGGGCATTTACAAAGGTATGGAAAGTTGTTATGGATTAAATTATGTCCCTCAAAAATAAAATATGCTGAAGTCTTCACCTCCAGTAGCTTTGGAAATTGACCTAATTTGGAAATAGGGCCATTGAAATTGATGCAATTAGTTAAGATGAGGTCAGGCTGCAGTACAGTGGGCCCCAAATACAATATGATGGACATCTTTATAAGAAGTGGTCACGTGAAGACAGAGACACAGAGGGAACACCGTGTCACCAGGAAGCCAGCAACTGAAGTGATACACCCACAAGCCATGCCCAAGACACTAGAGAGAGCAGTGCACCACCAGAAGTTAGAAAGGAACAAGGAAGGATTCCCTGCCAGTCTCAGAGAAAGTGCGGCCCTGCTGGCACCTTGATTTTGGACTTCTAGCCTCCAGAACTGTGAGACATTACATTTCTATGGTTTGAAGCCATCCAGTTTGTGGTATTTTTAAGGCAGTCATAGAAAAGTAATGCAGCTGGGTTGTGGGAAACCAAAAGAAAAAAGAAAAAAAGGTGTAATATCCTGGGTCTGACAACAAAGAAGCTACTACCACCCTAAGCCTGAAGCACGGTGTAGAGGAGCCTTCACTGGATGCTGCAGGTCGAGGAGAGAAGCTGTAGTCTCCAGCAGAGGAAAGCATCCTCCGCCAACCTGCAGCCTGGCAAGGACTATGGGGTAGTAACACTGTACCTCACCCTTCTCCTATTCTCCAGTTTCCTGATGGTACCTCCCACTGGCCAAACTAAATGGGAAACCAGAGATTGAGGGAACCAGGTGGATGTTTTCCATTAAGGTCAGACTCCTAGAGTAGGAAATAGAGTCTACCTGACAGGACAAAATGACACCATCTAGCATTGCTGGGTAACTTTTGCTTTTGAATCTCAGCTTGCAAAGTCACTTCTTTAGGGAAGCCTTCCCATACCAGATCCTAGCCCCAGTAACATGCTCTCATAGTACTGCTATTTCTACAGAGTGCTTATCACAACTGCAGTGGAGAAATTCATTATACAAATTATGTATTAAGTGATGGCTAGGTCTCATGCTAGAATATAAGTTCCATAAGAGGAGAGACCACATCTGTCATTTATCCGTGAATCTTTAGGGACTGGTGTCTAGTAAAAATGACTAGATTGTAGGATGTGCCAAGAGCTAGGCAACCTGATATAGAAAGATCAAGTATGGCACCGGCCGGGTGTCTCAGTTGGTTGGAGTGTCATCCCCAAACCAAAAGGTTGTCAGTTTGCTTCCTGGTCAGGGCATATACCTAGGGTGCAGGTTCAATGCCTGGTCTGGGTGTGTACAGGAGGCAACCAATTGATGTTTCTCTCTCACGTCAATGTCTCTCTCCCTCTCTCTTTCTCTCTCCCTGTTGCTTACTCTCTTATCCTCTCTCTAAAATCAATAAACATATCCTTAGGTGAGGACTTAAAATTTAATTAATTAATTTAAAATATCAAATATGTAAGTCCAGAGAAGCTGCCCTCAGCAACTTTCAAAGAACTATAGAGAGAGAATGGGCACCATTGTGTCCAACAGGTGGGTACTGATGACGGAACTTGTAATTTCAGAGAATGGGACCACCTTAAGTACTTGCTAATAGTTCTCTGGGAATGGTGGTGAGATGGGCAGTGGGGTAAATGAGATCACTCAAGAGTAGGGAGAGTAATTACCATGAGGTCAAGCAAACTTGAGTTTGCTTCCATCTGAATTTCTTCAGGCCAGTCTGGTCCCAGTCACATGGGGATAAACAAGAAAGTTGAGGTGGGTCTCTTGTCCACCAGCATGGGAATTTAGGTCCTGCGCCCATCCTCAGACATTGGTTGCTGCCTTTGCTCTTGCTTCTTTGCATAACAAGGGACCCCCTTCCCAGCTTCTGCTTTACCCTCAAGTTTCCATTTTTAATTTACCTGTTTACTTCAAAATTTCATAGAGTTTTTAAATTCAAAAGTGTAGGTCCCAAAAGTTCAAACATGCCTCTATTTTTAAAACAGGTGAAGTCAGGCTGTCATAAGCTAGAAGGTAAGTGTTGATTTCCAAGATTTTCACAGTATTTGGCTCTGCACTTCAACATAGGTGACCTACCTTCAGAAAAGATAGATGAGCTTAATAAAAATCAGAGAACTGGCTCAAATTTGGAGACAACACTTTGTTGGCTTGCTCATTTACACTTGGGTGAATCACCCTTATCCAACTTTGCCTGGAGGGAGTTTGCAGTAAACACAAAAATCATTACAACACCCGTAGTCCATCTATCTCCTCGTCTGAAGGCTCTTTGATTACAGCTGTAAATATCAATAATTCTTCTTGACATTAGCTGTGACATCACCAGAGAGCAGATAACAAGTACATCTGACATTAAGATGAAGCAATAATATCAAGCTTAACTTCTAGGGCAGGAAGCAGAAACCTTGTTATCAATCAAATAAGCTCTCTTAACCTTTTCTCAATTGTCCTTACTTATCTGGACCACATTATCAATCTTAAAGAGGGTGTTGTCATCCCAGTAACAGGCCACAGGCTCTGCAAAACTCCTGTGATTGGCTAAAAGCCCTCTTGTGGAACAGAACTAATGCTGACAGAGGCTGGTTTCCTCGGGCACAAATGTGTCACAGTAAAGGTATTGACTCAGAGGAGGGCCCAGGCAGAGGACGAGTTGGGAGGCAGAGCTGTCTGAGTGGAGCCATGCAGAGGACCTGCTCGCTCATCCATGTCACCCTGTTCTGGGCAGGTAAGGCAGATCCTGGAGCCTCGACCAAGTCAGACAGCGATAGCAAGTCATCAAGAATGCCAGGGCCTGGAGTTCATGGATGGGGCTCCTTACGCAATGATCTCAGAGCCAGTCCTCGCTGAGCTCCTCTCGTGTCTTTTCCCCCAGGAGCCATGTCAGCTATGGTGTTGGTGTCTCAAGACCAAGTAGTGACTGTGTCCTTTGGAGAGTCTGCCACCCTCAGGTATTCAATGGAAGAAGAAATGACCAAGAATTACTATATCATCTTGTACAGGAAGACCCAGGATAACATAATGACTTACATACACCGAGAAGGAGGCCTGTATGGCCCTGGTTTCTTGAACAAGTTCCGAGCTTACACTGATGATTCAAACAACCAGGCTGTACTTGAGATCCTTAAAGCATCAGAGAGAGATGAAGGAGTTTACTACTGTGCCAGCGACTACCACCCTGCTGCTGGCCCACTAATGAAGCTCGAAAACCATAGAGATTAATGCAAAACAGCAGTTATAACAAGATCATGATTTTCTCCTTAGTAAATAGTTTAAGAAATTGGGGCCAGAGAAGGCTGACATAACAGCCTTTCCTTCAGGCTCATATGCTCCCATGGTACTCAGATAGGCAACCTCCTGTAGAGTGTGGCCCAGTGTGGGACAGGAGAGGGGGGAGACAGGGCCAAAGTCAGGAGTTGTGGCATTCACATGTACTCTTAACAGTTTTTTTATTTTAAGCTTCATAAAAGATTTGGCCACATGCCCAAAGTACTTAAGGCATAGATTAAAGGAGCACTTTCCAAAGTATGACTACAGGTGACAGGTGTCCAGTTTCTCCCAGCCATATACACCATGAATCTAGATGTTGTGCAAGTAGCAGGGTTGGGAAGGTGGGGAGACTCCCGCCCTTCAGCATCAATGCATGCACTGCAGGCCATGTTGCCCGACATGGAGAGCAAGGCTCAGCCTCTGGCATTCTGCATTGTACTGATGATTACTGACTGAATATGGCCTTTGACCCCCCCCCTTCCTTCTCTACCTCTTTAAGTCTTCTGTATATGCTAGGAATAAAACCTGGAGAATTTCTTCCTTATCCTTTTTTAAAAAGATTTTACTTATTTATTTGTAGATAGAGGGGAAGGGATAGAGAAAGAGGGAGAGAGAAACATCAGTGCAAGAGAGAAACATCAATTGGTTGCCTCTCATATGCACCCTAACTGGGGACCGAACCTACAACCCAGGCATGTGCCTGACCAGAAATCAAACCAGTGACCTTCCTTTGTGTCAGGATGCCCAACTAACTGAGCCACCCTACCAGGGCCCCATGACCTCTTGTTATCTGTCTCCCTAAACAGCTATATTCAGGGAACCTCTCTTTTCAACTCTCCAACTCAAACCCACTCACTCTGTCCCAGTGTCCTGATTCCAGCATAGGCCTGTACTGCCTATCCTGCCCCCTTCCGTTGGATGGTTTCCTCAGTGAAACTGCCTCAAGGTTCTGTATATGTACTCTGATTTTGGATAAAATCAGGTTCCAGGATCCACATACAGATCAGGCACCCTGAGCCCTACATTCTGGGAAGGGACTTAAGACCCCACCTTCCTGGGATGTGTACAAGTTACCACACAAGCCCTGTCACAACCCCGCCAGCCCTCTACCTCCTCTTCATATATAGTCGTTCATCTTTGAACCAGTGGTAGGCAGGAAAGTGCATCTCTGAGACTGAAAGGGTGCAATTCTTCTCCTAGTTTGTAACAATGACTTCAGAAAAAAAGAACATTTGGAAGGAAGCTGGTTATGCTGATGTTGGCACAGTTTTGGTACCATGGTATTACAAGGCTTACAAGGCAGTTCCTAGGAAGAGACACACTGGGTCCTCTGACAGAGACTGGAAAAATGTGTCAGAGGAGGAAGAGCAAAAGTAACTAGACAAATCTATAAAACTTATGTTGGCTGTATAACAACTAACATCTGTTGAGTGCTTATTATATGCCAGTCACTATTCTAAGCTCTTTACACGTGTTCTATCATTTAATTTTCTCAACAACCCTACAGTGCATTTTCTATTATCAACTCTATTTACAAATGAGGACATGAAGGCACAGAAAAGCTAAAATACCTGCCCAACTTTACACAGCTGGTAAGGGAGGAAGGCAGGTTTCAGACTCTGGAGTCTGTGTCAGAGGACACAGCGTGTGATTCAGGGGAGAGGGGGGACCACAGAGGAGGCCGTCTCCAAGATGTGTCTGAAATGAGGAGCAACTGGCCTGTGCCCTTGTCACCAGACCTCTTCAAACTGATGCTCTGTGACCATCTGTCAGGAAACTGGGACAATGGAGCAGTGGTCCCAAATGACCTGTCAAGTGTTCTCTAACTCTGAGATCTTGTGATCCTGATATAAGCTTCCCACTGTCTTCTAAAAGCATCTATATCTCTTCATCTTTCAAATGATGATGACAAGGGTTCCAACTTCACAGTGTTGTTGTAAAAAGCTAGCGATAGAAAGTAAGTCAACTGCATGGCACAGGCAGCTATTCGATAAATGTTACATATAAAAAAGAGCAAACCGTGCAGTGGAATAATTAAGGAGAAGGTGAACTAAACTACTGAGTGCCGATAAGATGCAACCACTTTTTTTCATCTTTTGTTTTTATTTTTTTCATTTTTACTGAATTTATTGTGATGACATTGGTTAACAAAAGTACACAGGTTTCAGGTTCACAATCCCACAATGCATCATCTGTACATTGTATTGTGTGTTTACCACTCCAAGTCAAGCCTCCTTCCACCACCATTTATTCCCCCTAAACCCTCCTCCACCTCCCCCAGCAATCACCACATAAGGACACAACCACTTTGCAGGTGTGGACTCACTTAATCCTTATGGCAACCCCATGAGACTGTCACTCTCAGCTCTGTCTTACAGATGGGAGTACTGAGACTCAGAGAAACTAGGTAACTTACTGAAGGTTACAGAAGCAGGGCCAGGAACTGGGCCTGAGTCAAAGGCTGCCTGTCCTGGCACTGGGCTAGGGTCTGTGGGATAGAATAAAGAAATACTTCACCTATAACAATATCTGAATTAAAGAACAGCTGGGAACAAGTGTGTGAAGTCCAGTCATCTGTGTGATGCAGAGGTTGCCTTTGATTCCCTGGCCAGGCCCCAGAAGAGAGGGTGGGGTATAAATTTCTAACCCCTTCTACCTCCCAACTCTCCCTCCCCCAATTTAAAACACCAGTTGCAATTTCACCTTCCAGGCTGCTCTCCGGAGATGCCTCACTCCCTAGCCGGAAGGAAGACAGTGCTACCCAGCCCCCTGTCACTCATGCTCCTGAGCACCACCCCCATGTATGCAGTTTTTCTCTGGGGCCATGACATGGGCAATAACCCACATAGCTCTTCCTCCTTTTGCTTGTCAAATGCCTTTGTGGATTACCTTGTGGTACTCCCTAGAGTCTCTGGGATACTAGTGCTTTGACTGCCTTCTCCTTTCCTCCTCAGAGGCCTGCCTAGAATGGCAGGTCTAGGGGTGTGGGGCTAGTGAGATAAGGGCTGGAGAAACTCCGTGGGTGTCTGGCAGGTCCACAGAATTGCTAACTTGACCACCCAGCTGTATTGGGATGGTGGGACAAAGTGTCTGAGTTGGTCTCTTCCATTTTCTCTGCTTAATTATCACTTATACCAAGATAGCATAAGGCCCCAATAGCTGTTGTCCACAGTTCTCTGCATTCAAAATAAGCAAACTGACATCAGAAAGCACTGCGGTGAATTAAGGTGCAGGAGCCACCGTGCAAAGGAGACACTTGACCAACCAACCAAACTTTCTCTGCATTAGGCAGGGTCTGAGCCCACGGCAGTGTCTCAGACAGGATGTGTATCCACACCGATGAGGCAAAGAATCTCCAGAACTGAGAATTCTTTTTCACTCTTCTTCAATTCAATACATTGCCCTCACATATTAACTGAAATGATAGGATTATGCATCTCTGATTTTTTTTGTCAGGACAATTTTTTATTCCTTCAGCAAATATCATCTCTCCTCTCTGCTTAATTGTCCTCCATTGCATTTATCACCATTTGGTGTGCTCCATATTTTACTTGCTTATTTATTTGTTGTCTAGCTCCCCACTGAAATGGGGCTCCACAAGGTGGGAGTTTTGTTTGTTTTGTTCATTGCCTTCACTCTGGCACTTAGAATACATCGGGCACAAAATGGGCATTCGACAAATGCACTGAATGAATGAGTGAAGTATTTAGTGAGTGAGTACGATGTGCCCTACACTGTCTGGTTGCTGGGAATGCAGTAGCACACAAGACTGGTGCTGATGTTGCATTCTGAGGTGCTTTCCTAAACCACATCCAGCCACTAATGAAATGTTAACAAGTCTGTAACAAGATTGTCCAAGAGGTTGCTAATAGACTGCTCTAGATCGCCGAACAGCTTACTTTTGGAGAGCAGATGTCAGCGCTGCTGCGTTCCTTGCACACTGCCCCCAGCCATGGCAGGGAAAACCTGGGGGAGAGAGCAGGCTTTCTCCTTCACCACCTTTCCTCTCCAAGGCCCCAGGCCCTGAGGCTTAACCTATCAGAGAAAGAGCTGAACATTTCTACTTTATTTCATATAGAAATTTTGGAAACTTTTTCTCCAAGCAGAAATGCTAGGGCAAGCTATTTCATAACCTAAAGTCACAATAACACATTTTTCTAAACAAAAAAGTAATTCCTAACTCACTCTCACCTACCACAATTACGGCTGCCACCATGACCGCCAAATGATTTTGGCAATTCTTCAGGAATGCAGAATTTCTGGGTTCTTGTTGTTTTTAGCAATTCACATGTATACAAATGCATTATGGATGGTGACAGTGTACAGCAGTGTGTATCAAACATGGAAGGGATTCTCTGAGCACATACCCAGGACTCTCAAGGGCTCCCAAGGAACAGCGAGCCACCGCCATGCCACACGCAATAGAAAAAAACCTGGTGACAGTACGAAAGAAACCAAGCCACCATGCAATTGCTTGTAGATTTCTTATTTACACTCTGTGTTCAAATAAGAAATCCAACAGCCGTAGGTTTTCTGTTTACCTGCACACATGCGGGAGAATAAGAAAGTTTAAATTATTCTTTGCTGGCTTAAGAACAAAACTTCATGAATATTTATAACTTTCAGAAAAAGAAATGTCAGTACAAATATATTCCTAGGGCAACAAATTATTAGAAAGATAACTAATGCGAAGCATGGACTTTTGGAGGTTAAAATTGCTTTCCTAGAATATAACTTTGATTTATTTATTCAATAGCAATTTATTAAGCACCTACCATGTGCTGGGTGCCTTTCTACATACCTAGGTATATGGTACTCAGAAGCCCATGAGTTTATTTTAATGAAAGTAAATACAAAGTAAAATATGTGGTAGATAGTGATGATTGCCATTTACAGGGAGATAAAATATG